CGGGGACTGGAGGAGCCCGTGCTCGGTGTAAGGACAGTAGCAAACTCTCACACTGCATCAAGTGAGTAACTGGAACGACAGGAAGGCAATTGTACATAGACAACAGCCTCTGAGGCAAGTACAAATACAACTCCAACACTTTTACCAGCACCACTGTTTTTTCTTACTACAAACATGTCCTCTGGACAGTTTCTTGCTTCTGGGGTGAACTGGTACTATCTGACAACTGGAGTTTGGGGTCAAGCAATGAGGTCTGCACCTCAAGTATGCGGTCCTTACGTATCAATTTCGTTCTCAAATGTATATACCTTGGATTTAAAAACACAGTATAGAACTGCACAATCACAATTTCCAACTCACAGTTGGGCGCTATTCTGCCTACTTCTGCTGGCAAAGAAGTACGGAAATGCCAAATAGAGAGCACCTCAGCAAAGCCACTGTAAAAAAACACTGGTCCTGCTCAGCAGAGTAGCATGAAACTTGCCTCCTGTTGTTTGTGGCAGTATCTGGGCAAGAATGTAGAAAACAAAAAACATGTTTTAGCCCAAATGCCTATTCTTACATACTGCAATCTAAATATACCTCAGATGATAAATACAGGAGAATAATCAGAAGGTAGTGAATGCTAAAAATGCATCCTTAACAAAGCAAAACAATGTAACGCATATCTCTCTTTATATGTCAAACAATTTGCCTAACAAATCATAATAATGTAGAATGATATAAAATTCACCCATCAAGCCCAAATACCTGCACAAAGATTACCACAGCAAAGAATTGTGAATTTCATTAAATATGTTAAAGGCAAAAAAAAAATTCAGCTTTGAAAAATAGTAATCCTGTCTTTCAACAAAAATATTATAGGAAGCTATGAATTTGGTAGATCTGAATAGGATGTTGGTACATGTTTTACTAAGGTAATATAATGGCACACTATTATTAGATCACATTAATCATTACTGTGCCAAAGGCACTGACAGCACCACTGAAAAGGATTGAAAGGGCTGGTAATGGATATAAATTACCCATTGTGTGATAAAAGGATTTTTACTAAGAAGGTAAGAATAAAACAGCAAATTTCTAATATAACTGTTGTGTAAAAACCAAAATAAAAGTAATCCAGTCAGTAATATCCACAAAATCAGAAAGTAAGCACTTTTGAAACAAGATAAAGTCACAATAAAAATTGTATACAATATAAAATTAATTCTATGGTGCATAATATTGCTACCAATTTAAATAGTTTATATGACGACCTCTAAGGCGTATGGTCAAGAGAAAGGTAGCTTAGTTAATTAGAATCAAGTATGAGTTTATGCATGTGTGTTTTAAATATGTGGGTTTGGGATTTTTTGTTTGCTTGTTTTTTGTTTTGTTTTGTTTTTAACCTGTAATGGCTTTACGACACTCCCCTGAAATTCAAGGCATGTTGAGAGTTTTCTGTTTTCTGCATTAACATCACAACAAACAGCACATCTCTCAGATGGTTTTATTTGGGTTCCAAATGCTATTACCAAATGAACCATGTCTTTGCTGAGCTATTTAACCATTTGATTGAAATCATTTGTATTACTAACTGTCCAGTTCTGTGCTCTTCCTTTACTCTGGCAAGTATTTCCTGATATTAGTAGGGACCCGTGAAGTAAATTGGTCAAATTATATCCTTATACACAACATTAAAAATCTGCATATCTTGTCTTAAGTCGATGGAATTTTTCAAGAATCAAGTCACTGTAACTCTGAGTCAATTGTCTAAAATAAAATCCAGTAGCTCACATTTGATTAATAAGTTTTAAAAATTGTGAGCCATATTCTTAAGTGATACAAATCCATAAGCACAGACATCAATCCTGAAAACACTTACATCTATGCTTAACTTTACTCACGTGAGTAATTCCATTAGCATCAGTAATTCAATACCTGCTTATGCATTTGCACTACTGAAGCTTTAATATGCCTGAATATCCTCTCGCTTACATCAGTTATAAATCAGCACAATTCCTCCAAATCACACAGTTTCTACTGACTCACAAGATATAAAATTGAGTGGACAATCCAGTATAGTAATTATAATAAAGAAATAACATAAGAATTTGATTTGGAAACAGAAGCTATCAGAAATTTTGATTTAAGAATCAATTAATGCATGTAGAATGTAGAATTAATTATTGGTTATTTCCTAGGAAGCTAGATTTTTATTTCAAACTGAGGGCCAAATAACCCAGTTCAGATTTCACACTGATTTTTTCCACACCAATTTGATTCCTTAGACTTCACAGAGCTATTCTTCTATTGTACTGGAATAGCTCAGAGGAAAATCATATGTATAACATAGTATACCCATACACCCACTGATTTTCATGGATGTTCTTCTCATGCTAATATACAACAGAATATGGTTCTTAATAATATGCATGAGATTTTCTATTGAACTTATGCAAAAAACTCAAGTAAAAGTGATAAAATAAATTTAATCATGAGTGTCTTGTTTTTTTATCAGCAATTTGTTGATAAGTAATAAATGATGATTCATCTGTAACACAATTATTACATATCAACTGTATAAGATGAATGCTCATGATTTTACCAAGCAGATCTTTTCTTGAAAAATCTGTTTGTAGCTCACTACGCCCCAGAAAGAACTACAATAAAGAGTTTTCCTTAAAATATAAATATATTTTTAGAGGTGCAAAAAAACATGTGAAAACAAATTTTAAAATCTCATCTACATGCATCATTTTCATATATATATTTTTAATATGGGAAAACTAACCTAAGGTCAAAAAAACTAACCTCGTATCCATATGCAGAAGAAAACGTTATGAATACAATATAAGTAAGTATTCTTACCAGTTACACTTAAATCAATGAGTCTGTTCCCTGGCTGAGGAGATTCTTAAAAGATGTGGGATAGGTACTGAAGGCCGGAATTGTAAAAATAAAACCTGTAAGAAACGTAAAATGTCAAAACTCTATGTTTAAAACAGACATTTATGCTAAAATATTACAATGCTACCTCAAGCAGACAATCTCCAGAGCAGCAGCGAGCACTGAGAATTAGAATATTAATAGGATTAACACCGTTTATTTTTTAAGCCTTCATAATGTATGTGTTTGGTGGTCATTTCATTTTGGGAACTGAAAAGTTCTTTCAGTTCTGGATTGTGTTGAGAGGGAAAACCTCTCCTCAAGATAATGCTGAGGAACAGAATGAAATTCTTCTGATCCTTTCCCCTAGACAGTGCAGTAAAAGAGGACAAAACAGGATAAAACAAAAGTTGCATAGCATACTCCAGAAACCCAGTTATTCTCTTTGACATTGATATTCTAATCTTTTAAACTGAGTAAAAAGGGAACAGCTACTAATTGTATTTTTACTTTTTTTAATTCCATTTTATAACAGAAATAAGTCCTTTGTAGATGATCTCATCTAATAAACCCCACTTAAAAGAGATAAGAGCCAGCAGTAAAAGCCAAGCCAGAATACTTCCAAGATATTTGTCAGTAGTGAATTTAGGGCCATTACATTAGTAAGCAAAACAGAAACAAAAACAAAGGGAGTTCTTAGAGCAAAATAAAGTTCACTTTACTAAAGCTATAATCTGAAGAATTTATGACAGAGAATCCTAACTACATCTATTCCTACGTGTGTCTAACAAATGAAATTAAAGATCATTTCCAGATAATACACTTTCTATATCTGTATCAACCAAAATATTTCATACAGTGGGATCTGGCTCTGAAACCCCAGGTTCAAGCACCAGAGCCTTTGGGCTTCACCTTACAATCAAGAGGAGTGCTACTCCTCCTTACTTCCCTGCTGAGTCCCAGTGGCTGTCATTAGTGGTCAGTGTGTACAGAATCGTACCCTTAATTTCTGTGCAAAGTAGGTAAGGGCTTGGCCATCTGATTGCACTGACAGGACCAAGCTGGACAATGCCATTTGTAGACTTGAAGGGCAAACAACAATTCTGATGATTCCTATGATCAAAACAGCATTGAACAACTCTGCAAATTAGAAGCTCATTAATAATACCAGATTTTGGGGCTTTTTAGCAGTGTAGCCTTCAACTACAGCAATACCTCTAAGACCTTTCATATATCCTCTAAGATCTTTCCAGGCTCCAAGCTGTCTTGTTTACATCCAATACAAAATGCTACTGCAAAATATCCCACTTTGTCCATGCCACCTCCTCTTTTCACTCCTTCGGCTCCTCCACCACACCACACCACACCAGACAAGGACTTCTTATTTTCATTTTTATGGTCTGCCACAATGTTTCCTCATCCTGACTCCTTGCCTTCAGCCTGCAAAAGGTACCTGCCTTTACCGTGCACTTAGAAATATTTTCAAAGTGATGGTCTGCCTTACTACTCCTCTCATATAGGAGAATCACTCCAGGAAAATCTTCAAAGCCCTCCTTACAACTCAAATTTCCACAGTTAACTACCAAAAATTCAAGAGACATCTAGTTTGCCATCACAACTGCTTCTCATGCACAGGAGCACATCTCTTTTTTGCCCTCTCCTCATGCCTGGTTTCCTTTATATGTCAACTATCTCTGGTTTTACACTTGAATTATAAGCCCTGAGAGGCAAAGCCTATCTCCTCATTACATGTTTTTACAGTACTGAGCACGATGGGGGTTGAGCAAGTGCAAATCACTAGTCTGATATCCCATTTTTTTCCACAGGCACAACCAGCTACAGGAGATGCAAACCAATAGGTAGTCCAGCCCAGCATCTACACTGTTGGCTGAAGATAATTTTAATCATTTAACCAAAATTTTATCATATTTCATTTTCCCAAAGAGGAAATCACAGCTAGGTAGGATTCAGGTCCTTTACCCATAGCATTTTAGAATTCATGTAAGTAAGTTTTGGTTACTATATTCGGACACGTAGCAAAAACAAATTCTTGGACTGTTGTACGTAAACATAGGGCCCATCTAGCATTTGCAATTGCCTGGTGTCTAAAAAGAAGTGACAGCTTGTTTGTCTGGAATTTTTGCTGTTGTTGATGTCTTAAAACTCAAGGTACACTATTTTAGTGTTTACTTGTAGCTCATTCAAAGTAAGAAAGCTGAGAAATAGAAACAAGATAATAAGCTATGGTTTCAAGAAGATGTAATCTCACTAAACAGGTTCTTAGTACTCCTATGCCGACATCGTAGACTACATATTTGCTACGCTATTACAAGGCTACTTGTGTAAAACAATAAATAAATAAAAATAAAAAAAACATTTTACATACATGCTCATGACTTGCAAAATTCTAAGAATGATTCTCAAGGGGCTTTCACCGAGATGCTTTATAAATTCTGATGACAGACAGAGCACAGTAAGGCTTCATCTCTTAAAGTCCTGTACTGATTTGTTTGGAGGCTTCGTGTCATTGATCAGCATGTCAACGTCTCTTGCAATCTGCTTTCCAGTTCACGACTGTGAGTGAACCCCTCAGGTTTAAAACCTTAAATGATTCAAGGCCTATGATACATAACCTTATGAACAAATTGGGAAAATCTGTAGCTTTACACATTAAACTGTAGCAGAAATGATTTAAAGCCTTATAAAAAGATATTTTACTTACCTGTACTAATATTATTCTAACACATTTGGCTGTGTAAAGTAGGTGCTTTAAAGGTACAGGCAGCAAGCTGCATGAAATCAAATTACGATACTTCCACTTAGGTCAAATTGGGCCAGTTTACAAGTGTCTAATACACTTGCTGGCATTAAAAAATTGCATTGTGAACCCCTACAGAGCAATTTATCAGAGGAGAGTCTCCTTCAGTAACAGCCCAGTGCAGCAGTCCTGCTCGGCTCCGCGGAAGAACCCGTTCCCCCGCTGCTCAGTTCCCTTGCGCACCCCTAGCCCAGGAGGAGAAACCCCAAACGCCTTCACAAAGAGGATGGTAAAATAAAAGTATTATCAAGACACAATGCAGGGTAAAAGGGTACAACCTTTGTTCATTCTTAAGGATGTCTATATATAGCTCATTATTGTTAAAATGAGTTACATATATTAAAGGGAGAGAGCAATCTCTCATCCCATTGATCAGTGGGAGACTAGAAGGATTTATGCAGGTTATGGATGGAAATCTAATATACAGCAATGGGACAGATGCTTGAGCGTGTACTTATTCAGAACCACGGGACTCTTCCCCAGATACCAACAACGCAAAGGCTTCAACACAAGGCTTAGTACCACATCCCATTCCTGTTAAACTCAATGACAAAACTCCTGCTAATCTCAAGGGGACAAGGCTTGGGCCCTCTTTAAACAATGTACCCTTTCTGATGGAATGAGGTGTCATGTTTAAATAATTATTCCCTATCAGTTGCTCTTTGAGGGCCTCTTGAAATGCTGTTGCATAGTTGCTCTCACCCAGGCACATCAGAGATGCAGGGACAGAGATACACAGGCAGGCAAAAAGAGTAAATGCCACAAAGAACCCAGCCCAGCAGCCACGCAGAAAATCCTTCACTGGCCTTGATGCGAGTGTTGCATATATTGTAATTGCAGGACAGGACCTACCGGGCCTTAAGGGCCCATCTAGTGTCACTGAGAGTTACATGCACAAACGAGAGAAAAAAAACAGTCCCTGAAGCAGGACGTTGGAATGAATCTCGGTATTTTTCCATTGTTCTCTCAGAACCTGCAAACTGACACCACGCTCCTCAGGCCGGGCTAGGATGGTTTCAGCCCTCGCCACAGCAGCCCCCGCAGCAAACCCCAGCCCGACTGCCACGCTACCACTTCTTCCACACCGCACTCAAGTCAGGCCTTCCTCTCTACACGCTCTGTCCAGACGGTCCGAGACTTCCAAAGCATGAAACTGTTTGTATATAAACACAAGCTATATAACTTAAGTTCATAGTACGTAAAAATGAAAATCTCACCATGACCGGATCTGCCTATGACTCCTGGCAAATCCGCGGTGTGTGAATTAACGTCCGCTCAGGAAAGCTCCTTCACATCACCAAGATCACGCTACAGACTGCGCCTCTCATTTTTCTTCTTGACGTTAGTAAACAAAAGATGGCAAAGGGAGCAGGACAGGAATGCACGTTATTTTAATTTTTGGGGAACCAAGGGGCTCACAAAAAAATATTTTACTGAAGAGGCCCAACTCTTCTCAACTCTTTAGTTTTTTTCTACGCAAGCATGTGTGCTTCAAACGTCGTAGTTTGCATTTTAGTTTGTGCAACTTCTACCTTACCCTCCTCTTTAACACCACTATTAACCTGCCTCAGTTAGGACTAGCTATGAGTTGCAAAACTAACCACTTAATTCAGCATTGTGCTCCTCCTGCCTTTCATGGTCAGGCCTGATCCAAAGCCTTCAAAGTCCGCGCTCTCCAGTTGACTTCAGGGGACGTTGGATCAGGTCCTGCCTGCAGATCCGTGGTTCAGCACGACTGCTAATGACATCTGCACTGCTTGTGACAAGCATGGTTTAACTGCGATTTGGTGCTTGCAGCTGTGGATTTGGAAAGGCGTAAGATCCAGCCCCAGGGGCCACCCAGTGCCCTCAGCCCATGCGCACACACTTCCACCGGTGCCAGCAAGAGCTCCACGCGTGGCTGGGGAGCAGGGAGGTTACACCATCACCATTTAATTACACATTAGGGGGGAAATCATGCCCACTGCTGAGTGGCTATAGCT